TGAAACATCTTGAATGTTAGCAGCTTGGGAAGTTCATTCCAAATGTACAATTGGTTTGCACAGATTTTACGCATTTCATTCATGCACTTGAACATCTTACATTGCTCTCTAGCAAAGCTTCTTTGGTGCTTGGCAATAAATGTAAAGTCCACATTGAAACCAAAGGTATTCAAAGCAATGGAAAGGTAAATGTGTGCTTTAAAAAGAAAAGCTTTTTTTAAAGAGAGAGAGAGAGAGAGAGAGGTTGGCTCTCTCAACTCAGCACTTTTGAACTGCTTCTTTGTTTTAATAATTCATACCCAAAGGAATAATATTTTTTGCGTATGTTTTCATGCAGGCTTTCCCATAACAGAATTTTTCAGTTAACTCTGTATAGGATTATACTACATTCCCTCCCAATCATTTATTTCCTAGGGTTGGAATCTCATCTGGGTAGTAGGACTTAGCTGACCTTGGCTGTGTGCTTGGATAGGAGTCCAGAAGGAAATTCTGGGGCTACAATCTAGACTAGGAAGTAAAATCATCATCGTCAACCTCCCAGAAGCTAGCAATTGCAGACCAGCCATAGAGATGATAGCACTAGCTGACCTTGGCTGATGTTGAAGAAGCTAAATTGTGTTGAACTTGGTTAGTACTTGGATAGGAGACCATGAGGAAGTCTTAGTGCTGAACATTCGCCTGGAAAATAGGAAAAAAGGTACCCAGAGAAGACAATAGCAAGCCTCTTCCATAGTATTTCCAACAAAACTGCATGGGTATGTCCATGTAGTCATCAAGAGCTGAGCTTCACTCAAGGAAGACTCGGCTTTACATTTGGAATAGCCAAGGTGTGTGTGATGTGCGTTGGCATGGTTCTTAGCCAGCTGCTCTTTGTGGTCCTCTTGATGTGCCTCTGGGGGGAGAAGTCATACTTATTGTGTGGTTTTGCTCTTTCTCTGTCTAAAATGGGAGATTGGAATCTTGTATTTTCCAACAGAAAGATGAGTTGCATTCCCTACTCTACCATCAGTTCCCGATCATACACATGTGCTATTTTTCTACAAGAAAATGGACCACTGGAACCCATTTTAGATGTGCATCGAGTTGGTGTGCTGCACTGTTGCATCTGATTTCATTAACTTTACAGGCTGTATTGATATGTTGTGACACGTGCCAATTGAATGAAACCTGGATCTCTGCCCTACCTGGGATATAAGACTTGGCCAGTTTGGCAGAATCTGTGGCATCTTACTTGCATCAACCAGTAACCATCCTAGTTAAAAGTTATACCTGTGGGTTTTTCTTTAAGTATTTTATTCTCTGTGGGATTAGGAAAACCACCCTTAATAAGTCTTGAAAGATCAGTCTTTGATTCCACTTCATAGTTTCTTTCATTGTCAGCAATAATATGAATTTGTAGGCCAGGAACAGACCAATTCATTTACTTTTTAGCTTACTGTGCTTAAACTGGGAAATACATATATGAGTTATGTATGTTCCAGGCCCCTGAGGCTGCAGGGTGTGGTTTAGACATGTTTATGAGGATCTGCTGCTGGAGAAGATTTGCCTTGAGAAGATAAATGAACCTTCTTCTTTTCTGATCCTATCAGATCCTAAGATGGCTGTTGGAAATGTGGCCAGCTTAGAGCAGAAAAGTAAAGACTGAGATCTTGCTTTTTTCTTGATTTATGGATGAACTGCCAATTAGGGGTGCCACCAGATTTGGAGTAAAATATTTGTACTAAAAAGTCTTCTGTACCTTCACTTCTTTTAGTGTAATGCCATTACTTCCTTTCCATTATCATCAACCAACTGATGTTCCTTGTCAGTTGCAACCATCTGCATGGGGGTCAGGCGAGGGACCAGAATGGTGGGCTACCGTCTGCAATTGCTTTCCATTCATTTGTTTACCCTCTCCACCACCAGTGCAAAGCAGTGGAGGTGGTAGTAAGATGCAGTGGTTAGGTGCAGCAGATCTGTGGCCAAGAGATACTCAGTGATGTTCTCTGTGCTTCTAGGGCTTTGCTCTTGATAGGGGCCCAACCACGCTGAAGATAGGAGGAATTAGAAGGAGCAGGAATGAGTCTTGGAGAGACTGGATGTGTCTCTCTTTGCTGTGATCCACCCCTCCAGACTGCCTTGCTCCCACATTGAAGATAGCAAAAACCTGCTGTTCTTGAACAGCATGCCAGGCTTTTAACTCTCCCGCCCCACTTTCCCCAGGCAGCGGTCTGAAAGAACTGACAAAATGGTCACTTTAGTACCTGACTAGGTAAGACCGAGCAGCGTGTCCACAAAGTCTTGGTGATTATTTTAAGGTTAATGGGTTCTCTCCTGCAGCAGACATGTTTGCAATAGCTTGGCACTAACTTGGCTTTTTTTCCCAGTGTTCTAGTTATGCCCCAAGAAAGTGAAGGAATTAGTTAATATCTCTTGCCATTTTTTTCTGACTGTGATTAGAATTTATTTGATCCCATTGCAGTATCTTAAATCAGGTATTGAATTAAATCAGTTTTCTATGGAATGCTACCTTTTTTAACTTAAATGACATCTCATTTTAGATGCCAGACAGTAGAAGGAGTAACAGGGTAAGGTAACAAGAGAAGCAAAGGTCAAAGAAGTTTGAGTTCAAGCTAATCCAGAGCAACTAGGATTCTGGCTGGAAGAATCAAACAATTTTATCCATTTGTTGATCCATCTTAATTGTTGGTCTGTGTTATTAATTTTGCCAGCAGGTTTGGAGGGATTGAGATACAGATCCAGTATATTCTGCTAAGATAAATTCTGCCATCTTTTAATTAAAGGAAAAACTCAACATGTAAATGAATAGGCAGCCTCATAATTTTTAGCTGGGCATGATTATTGTCTACTTCAGCTTGGGATTGTCAGCAATTGTTATGGACTTGATAGGGCAGGGGTAAACAATTTGATGTCCCCCAGAAGGTTAGAGCTGTAGAACCTTGCCATTGACCATGCTTGATGGAGCTGATGAGTGTTGAGTCTAAAATACCTGAGGACATCAGATTATCTAATCTGCATGCTAGGGAGTCAATACAGAGTGAGGTGTGCTTCCAAATAAGTAATTCAGAAGACTGATTTATTCATGGAAGCCTAGATAATCTACTGTTCTGTGGCCCATCAGTGTTCTCCAGATCTTCAGACAGATCTCTTCCAGCATCTGAAACCTGATTCTTTGAAGTAAAAATAGCAAGGGTTGAAAGACTGACTTTTATCATTGAGCTACCTTGTCTCCTGTAGATGTCTCCTCTGGCATCTTCTTCCTGTTTTTCCCCATTTAGATTAATACTTGCTTTTATTATCACAATTCAACACGTTGTGGGAAGAAAGGGGAAGACATCTGCATTGCTATGTGTCAATTCAGCAGCAACAGTTATAACGCTGAGATTTTCTAATTTATAATAATTGGCAATGAGAGACAGTGCCTATTCTACACTGAACATTTGCCCTGATTCATCTATTCTTGCAAGTAGCTTGAGAAATTCCTCCAGGCATTTTGCATAGAAAAAAAGATAAGTATTAATTCTTACGTGAGATCCATTGACCTACTTTGAATTTCTTTTTACCTAATAGAGGGCTGGGTCTTCCACCCATAATATATATGTAATAAGTCAACAAAAATTGCCTTGTTTAAAAAAATGCTGTGAAGGGCAAAATGAATAGTGGCAATCAAACATTATTTAGGGCACAATTTATCCAAAAGTGTTATTAAAGGCAATGTTTGCTATGGTTTATCACAACTGAAGCTTGCTGTGGGGCATTCCAAGGGGACGTTTAGGCGTGAGGTTTTTGTTTTATTGTTTTATTATTTTTACTGTGTTATGATTGTTTTATAGTTATTAGTTTTATTGTTACGGTGAGCTGCCCAGAGTTGCTTAAGATGGGCGGCCATGTAAATCTTTTAAATAAATAAACAAACTCTTGATCTTCTGTTGAGAGCACCTTCCTTTTTGATGATTCCTTCTCATCTCCAGGAATAATCCCCAAAGTATTAACATTTGTGTATTCTTTACATCTCTGCAAATCAAGCAAATACTTAACACTGATCCCCTGGTTTTACTAAGTACATGGAGAGAACCAGTTTTTCCATGGAATAGTTAATGGCAGAATTGTTTCCAGTGAAGGAATCCCAACATGGAACTGATTTTCATGCAAGCTTATAGGGAAACGAAATTCTTCCTAAAAGCTGTAGGCTTGAGACTGGTTGTTTGTCAGAACTTCCCATGTGGTCCAGTTGTGTTGTCAATCTCATCAGCTAGCTAACTGCCAAATGTTTTTAGCAATGAAATCAACTCCACCTAAAATCACATGATCTGCAACTTTGTCTTAACAGGTCTCATAATTTGCTTTGGGAATGCAGTTCCCATTTTCTGGTTATGTCAACAGATTTTCATCACTTTCCCTAGGTAGGCAATGAAAGGCTGCGAGAAAGGTTACACAGGGAGGTATGGTAATGTTTGAAAGAATCTATTTAATGCATTAATTTGCTAAAGGGTAAACCTTTGTTACAAATTACACAATGTCAGACTTGTTAGATTATTTATGTAGCCTGTTACTTACTTATGCATTCCACAACTTGATCCTCTCCAGTTGTGTAGGACTTCAGCTCCCATAATCCCCCAGCCAGTATGAACCTTAGGGGATTGTGGGAATTGAAATCCAATAAATCTGGAAAGCATCAGATTGAACATGGTAGTCTCCTCTGGATACTTAGTTGGCGAGGACACATTCAGAATTCCAATGTAGGCAGAATATCTGCATCTACAAAGACTGGACCACAATCCCCAACAGCCCCAGCCAGCAGTGATCAATAGAGAAGGATTTGGGAGATGTAGCCGAGCAATATCTAGATAGCCAAGGAGTCTAACCATTCTGCTGAAAGTGCTTTGGAACTTCATGGTGGTCGTCATTCCTCGGCTCTGTTTTTATTTTCCTCTCTAACAAAACAATACAGGATTATGCTTTCTTACAATGCTAATGATGCATTCGTTTTCTTACAGGAAGTGACATCTCCAGCCTTGAAATTGTCTCCTTATTCCCAGGGCAGCGTGCGGAGGATTATATTGGAGAATCCCGAGAAGGTAGAAAACTTTTACTGCTTACTACTGTTAAAATGGCATTGGGCGTAAGAAGTTGGAAGTAGATTTAGGTATTTACGTGTGGGTGTTCAAGTATAAATGGGTCTATATTCTCATATACTTGCATGTATGCATTTTTTTTTCCCTGGCCTTGTGGCTGTAATAAAGTTGTGGAGTTCCTGTTGTTCTCTGAGCTTGATAGTTTTCTGGCAGATGTTTCATGATAGTCCACTGATGATGTTACTTAGTTGGGTAATGAAACGTCTGCAACCAAACAACCAAGTTTGGAGAGTACCAAGGACTCCACAGTTTAACCCTGAGCTACAGATATTCTTTTCTATTATAATAAAGTTATTTGGGTTACTTGCATGTAGAAAGTTACAACCGCGCATGCGTGCACGTACACACACAGTTGGAAGGAGAGTGGAATTATCTCAAGCTCAGATTGATTCAAAGACTTGATCCTACATTTGCTGTCCTCGAGTCACAGCAGCTGAAAGGTTTGTGGATTGTCTAGAAAATCCTGAATCAGGATGTTTCTTCAGAACAATGTTAGCAGAACATCTTTGGAAGATTCCCCCCAGCCACTGCGCTTAAAATAATGGGCTCCGTAAGGAACGATCAGGTCAAATTCTAGTTGGTCCTCATGCATTGTGAATACATTGTGCGCTCACTTGTTTCTTCAACCTGCCAGCACTGAGAGCTAAACAATGCTTCCCTGAATCTGAGATCCTAGGTTATTGCCCTTTTATATGCTGGGATTTATCTAGCAAGGATACCAAGACAGTATCAAAAGGGCATAGCACATGGGTCACATCAGTCTCCTAGTCTTCCGTGTGGCCTCTGGAGTCCTCTCTCCAAAGGAGCCAGGAGAGTAAACTAGAGATGAACAATTTATTTGAAAGGTTGGGAAGAGGCAAATGTGAAGATAGATGGTCCGGGAGGGGAGTAATCCTAATCTTTACTTAACTGAATTCTTGACCTGACTTGGCTGGTTTTTTGGAATTTGGCTCTTGGCTCGAAAAAAGTGGTGCCCTTGTTCTTAATCTGTTTCTGATTGTTTATCCACCAGAGCTCCTGGGAGGGTTGGGGTGTGAGTGGATCAAGCAGGAACAGATCTCCCATGCCTGCAATTTTCCTCAATCATCTGGGACTTAGCAGGGCTCTTTCTTGCCATTCTGGGCTTCAGCCAACCTCACTTTGTCAGATTGGATGCTTTGTAGCCCCCGACGGCCTGTGTATAAATATGAGACTGTTTTGTTCATTACAGGAGCCACTCTCTCCCCTTCGGAGAGGAGGAAATAACGTGATCTATGAAAAGACGATAAGGAAATACGAGCTGCTAAATCCAGATGAGGTAAGAGATCCCCCTGCCCCCCACCCCTTCTTTTCTTCCTTTTCATTTTAAAGAGAAACCAGCGTCCTGACATTTTAGCTTGACTGGTGTGGAAGAGTTCAAGAAGGAATGAGGGCAGAGCCATCTCTAGATTGCGTAAGCCCTTCGGGGGGTTTGTTTCTCTCTTTCCTCCCGTGGAGGCTTGCACCTTTGGACCCAAACACCTGTTGTTATTTGATCTCCCAGACAAATGAAAGCTGCGTGGCCCATTGTACAAACCCTTGCAGCATAGCTATTAATTCAATAGCCGCAGAGCCCTTTTGAAACAAATGAATACAGAGTGTTATTTTACACTGCCCGCTTTCTCAGGGACTGTAAAGTTCCAAGGCGCCCCCTTTTCAGAGTCTCAGAGGAACTGGGGAGGCATTTTAAGATGGGTTTACAAGCCTGTGTGTTGAGGAACGGGAGGGGGACAGGTGATCAAGGAAGCCCAAAGCATCGGCTGTGTGAAAACTAGAGGACAGGCATCCTCCTGGGGACGCTCCCTGCAAAATCTCAGTTTAGACAAGAAGACTGGCCAAGCGGCTTTGAGGGAGCTGATCAAAGGGGAAAGCTGGAGCAATGCTGGAAGCACAGCTAGAGACCTAAATCAGCTGTTTTGGGAGCTGAAAATCTGATGCAAAGCCGGGTGGGAATCTTTAGGGCACTTTGGGAAGTAGCACAGAGTTGGAAAGGAACATCTTGCTTGGGCCACCAAAATGAACAGTATCAGCGATGTTCAATTGGAGGATCTTGATGTCCAGCCACGGATTCTTTGACTACAGGATTGTTCCTGTCACTACAGAACTGGAGAAAATGTTGCATCTGGGTTGACTACAAGCTTTCTGGAGGTTTTGAAAAAAGAGGCTAGACAGCTACCTGAAAGATGGTTTACTTCCCTGCATATTGCAGAGGATTGATCAGGGTTGTAACCCTTCCAACTCTATCATTGCTATTATTCTTTGCCATCAAAAGGTTAACTTCATGGATGGAACTTCATGCAAAAGCCCAAAAGGGCAGATAAACTCAATGAACATTTTTTTGTAATGGACAAATCTAAATATTCCAAATGGAAAATGTGATTGGAATTGTGTAAGTATGGATGCAGCACCTCTCAGAAATACCCGAGAGCAACTGGGTGTTTTCCTGGGTTCATGCAGTTGTGCTTCACAGCTGCAGTGTGATCCTGGCTAAAGATGGGCGTGGTTTTAGGGTTCTCTCAGAGAGAGTGTGTCTGCCTCCCTGTGCTCCAAATCTAATTTTCCCTTCTGAATCTGGATCACCGCACAGCCTACTAAAAATGACCCCTTGTGGACATTCTGCGGTCGTCGAGACGGATCTCAGAGGTTTGCAGACAGATGGCCTGTATTATGACAACCTGCATAGGACAAGTTCTTTTTTTCCAACCTGCTGTAAAAAGAAACAGGAAGGGAGCAGAGTTTCTGGAAACAAAGGCAAAAGGAGATCTGGTTAGAGAGCCCACTTTGGAGAGTAGGCTTCCTATGAAAAAACATCTTGTCCATAAAGTTGTGTCTGCAATAGGACTGAGTTCGCACATTGAGCCCACTGCTTTGTCAATCAAGACGTAGCTGGTTCGGTTTGCATATTGCATTCAGCTATCAGCTGTGTGTGTCTAGGTTTGTTCACAAACCACAGTAGGCAAACAAACGGCAGTATGTAAACAAAACACAGAAAGTCGGTAAGGTCGAAGTCAATTTCAGGACTGGTTAAAGTTGGAATTTATCTGAATTCATGACTCATCACACACAGTAGGGCTTGCCTTGGAGTAAGTGTTCCTTGGCAGGGAATTCTGGGATAAAGGCTTCTTTCTAAAGCCTTGCTTCTCAACCTTGGCAGCTTGAAGATGGGTGGACTTCAACTCCCAGAATTCTGGGAGTTGAAG